AGGGGGACAAGGTTTCCCATGCTCTTCCCCCATGGGAACCTCTTGGACACTTGCATTTTTCCACGTGACTCCAAGTCTCCCTCAGGTTTCAGACTGCTCCTTCTGATTTTACCCTTGTCGGGCTGTGGTGTAGTCAGGTGGCAAGGAAGGGCCAGGGTCACAGCTACTACCACAGATTCCAACATCTTAATGACCCCCGGGCTCCCCAGGCTGGCCTGTCCCAAATCCAAAGACCCATACTCCTGTTTCCTTTCCCAGCAGAAGCCCAGCTCTGGGACAGGAGGCCACAGGCAGGCAGACTGGGTGGCCTGAGCTGGCCCCCGTGCCCTCGGCCCGACCGGCTGGCCTGAGCACTGACCCGCAGGCGGCTGGAGGGTGGTGGGGCAGGCGGGGCCTGGAGAGGGCTGTGGGTACACACCCATTGCCTAATACCCCAAGCACGCGGCCAGCTCCAGGAAAGGAGAGGGGCGGGAACCAGAGAGACCTTGACAAGGGTTGGGGCCATGACAGCAGGGGGAAAGTGAGGGGCTGTCATTACTTCAGGGAGGGAGTGGGAGCAAGCAGGTCCCCCTTCCCCTGCGAGGAAGAGTAGGGGGCTGACTTCCCATCATAGGGGTGGACATATCAAGAGCAATCTGAGAACACTGGGGCTCTATAGGGCGGGGGTCAAAGAAAAGAGTGGGGGTCCCTGGAGATTGGGGTATCCAGCAACTGAGGCGGTGGCTAAAGCTGAGTGCAGCCTCGAAAGCCTCCTCCTCCTCCTCCCCCCGTGTTTGCCTTGGCCCGGGGTCCCGGGTGACTCATCTATTGCTGAGCCGCTGATAGGGGCGGCTAGGCCCAGGGAACCCAAATTATAGGCCCTGGAGGGATGGATGCGCCCGCGGCGGCGGTGAGCTCAGCCCTGCTGCCCACCCTCCGCCTCTCACGCTTTCTGCTGCAGCACCACAGGCCACCACCCGGCGGCACCAGAGCGTGCGCAGCTGACTCCACTGGACTCCAGAGAAACCCCCAACATTCAGCAGTTGCCCCCAACGTATCAGTAAAGTTACCCACGACAGAACTTTGCCCCCTTCTCCACCAGAGGCTGATGCCTTCCCAGCCCAAAGAGGGAGTGACACCTGCTGGTGCTTCAAAAGAAGGTAGGCTCCTCTGCCCACAGCTCTCAGCCCTGGTCCCCTGCTTCCTCTCCAGACCCCCATCTAGGTAAAGCCTCTCTCCCCTCTGATATCTCTCTCTCCAAATCCTATTTTAAGAGGGTGGTTTACTACTGACTTTCCACTTTAAGCCTTTAAAGGTATCCATGGTCAAAAGTGATGCAAAAAATAAATAAAGCAGGGTAAAGGAGATAGGTGGTGGAATTCCATTTTATAAAGGGGAGGAGTGAAAGGGATGTGGAGGAACAAACACATGGAGATCTCGGGGAAGGGCATTCCAGAAGACAGAAAAGCAAGTGCAAAGATCTTGAAACAGATACTTTCTTGGTATGTTCAAGGAATTAGCAAGGAGGCCAGTGTAGCTGGAGGGAGGAACCTACAGGGGTTTTGAAGACAGAAGGGCAGGAGTTTTGTTTTTTGTTTTTTTGACTGATTTGACATAGACTATAAGAAAACAGACAAGTCAAGGATGGCTCTAGGATTCTCGTCCTGTGCAACTGAAAGGATGGAGTTACCATTCACTGGGATGGGGATGACTGAATAAAGAGCAGGTGCAAGTGAATAATTGGGAGTTTAGTTTGGGATATTGTACATTTTGAGATGTTTATTCAAGTGTTAGATGTGCAAGTTCAGAGTTCAGGGCCAGAGATAAAAGTTGGGAGTATGAGACTGTATAGTTCACCAAAGGAGTGAGTGTAGACTGAGAAGAAGTTGCAGATTGAAATGGGGTGCAGTCCAATGAGTCATGTAGAAATTGGGTACAAAGGTGGAACCAGATAAAGAGACTGAGAAGGTGAGCAGTCAGGGAGGTAGGAATGGTGTTTCAGAAATCAAGTGAGACTATTTCAAGGAGGAAGTGTTCAACTTTGTCTGCTATTCCTAAAAAGTTTGTTAGGATGAGAACTGAGATTTGACAGTAGAGTGAAATGGAGGTCATGGATGATTTTGAGGACGAAATGCAGCGGGTTCAAAGGTGTGATTAAGGTGGTGGAAAGAGAGCATAAAGAAAAGAAACTGGCACCGGTGATTAAAGCAACACTTTGAGTTCTGCAGTAAAAGACCACACAGAAATGGGGCACACTTAGGTGGTAATGTGAAGTCAAATAAAGTTTTGGGGTTTTTTTAGATGGGAGACATTACAGCGTATTTGTAGGCTGATAGGTATGATCCAGTAGAGAGGTAAACTGATGACACAGGAAAGGAAGAGAAGACAATTGATAGAGTGATGATTTGATCTAAATAAATTTGGGCCAGGTCCTACAAAATTTGACCAGACCTCGAGCCCTCCCACTCTTCCCCACTATCCCTGGTGGGTGGAATAGTGGAACAAAGGATATGGAATCCTTTTTTCCTCCCTTCCCACTTGTGCTTGTCACCAGTGGCCACAGACAGGACTGCCCTGTCTCCAAGCCCAGCTCCCTCCTCCATGGGGTTTTATCAACCCACTAAACCAAAAGATGTGACCCAGGCCCCAGTGGGAAGAAACTCCTCAGGGACAAAGGGCAAGCTGCCCAAGGTACACTGTCTACTTACTTGAGCCATCTATGCTGGGTGGCCTCCGCAGGGACTGCTGGCTTTTAGATCTGTGGAAGATGCTAAGCCAGTACACCTTGTCCTCAGCGTCAAATCCTTGGAGGGGCAAAGGGCCTGGGAAAGATATTCCCCTAAAAAATAACCTCCATCAGGTTTCATTTGGGCTAATATGCATCCTTTTAAAATGCAAGAGCCCCAGGAAGATTCATTAAACTTATCAGGCATTCATTCTTTAGAGTGATTTGCCTGCACTGGAGGGGAGGCCTGATCATTTCTGGGACTTGGAACTCTTTCGGACCAGGCCTGGTACATTACTCAGTCAAAAAAACATCCTAAAGTCAGGGAAGATGAAAAAAAAAGATCAAAATGGAGGCAGGAAGATCCTAAAGACCATATTTATTTATCTCCCAGTTTGGGGAAGGGCCCCCAGCCTGCACAATCATAAGCAGCCATTAAGGTGGTAAAAGCATGGGGTTTGAGTCTGAACATTCTGGTTTTTAACCTGCCTCTACCGTTCATCCCTTTATTAGCTGCGGGGCCCGTGGAAAACTGCCTAATCGAGTTTTTCCTTTGTAAAATGGAGAGAGAGAGGAGAGATGTAAAGGAGGAGATCCTTCTCTTCCAGGGGCAACCTGCATGTGTTGGCGGGGCCTGATAACCAGGCTGGCAGTGCCCTCTATATCCCACATGGGGAACAGCAGCCACTCATTCCCTAGGAGGCAAGGGGCCCTGAAGCTGAGAGGATGTAGGGAGGCGCGCGTTAGGGTCAGGGTTAGGTATCCCAGCGTGGTGAGAGTGAAGAGAGCCAGAGTTCTAGGTGGAGAAGACAGAAACTTGGTAGAAAATTCCAGAAAGGAGCAGAAATGTGGACGCACAGGTTCTCTGCTCTGGGGTCAGTTTAGTCAGCAGCCCTTCTGCTCCCAGTCCCTCCACACACACACCCCTGACATCGAGTCTACTGCCTTTCTTTTCTGAGCCTAGTCTCAGAGTCACTGCTGCTCCAGGCCTCATCCGTTATGATACCACCTTGGTTACAGGTTTTGTCCGCCTCCCCCAGCGACAGACACAGGTTGACACATGCCAGGGGGTGACACACTATAGGATGACCCAAGGAACACAGGGTCAGAGTGACACACAGATGCATATTTCATCTCCTACTCATCCACCCACCTCCACACACAGTTCCAGACACTGCTCCTCGGTCAACCTTCTGGGTCTCTCCTAGCCACCCCCTTCCCGACACATAGGAGATGATGCACTGTCCCAGGTGGTGGCTGTGACAAGATGACTCGATGATGCCTTCTGATCTCAGCTAAATTCCAAGATTCTTGAGAAAGGCTCCTAAAATCCCTCCTCAGAACATGGGAGTTTCTATCCGTGAGGACACACACTCAGGTGTGTATGCACATTCTCACACGCAGTCTCATTTACAACTCTCCCACTTCATGCACACACTGGCAGGCACTTGTGCACTTCTTTCCTCCCACAAGTACAAACCTCTGCTGCCTCAGGTTTCTCTCCATGGTCGGGCCTGTGTGCTCAGCTCATCCCCACACCCACCTCCCACCGCCTGGGATTTCCCTGACCACAGCCCCAACCCCACCCGTCTCCCCCTTCTCCTTCCCTGTTCAGCCGTCGGGGGCTCATGGGCGGGGAGGCGTCTCCCCAGAGTCGCTGCCCAGAACCACAGCTTTCCTTCTTCCACTCAGAATGGGGGACCGGGGTGACGTCGAAGAGACAGCCCCACAGCGGGCCGCGAAGTGGCTGAGCTCCTAGCAGTTTGTCCCCGCAGCACACTGGTCGCTGCGCCCCCTGGCGGCCGCTGGTCCCCGACGGGCTCCGGACGCGGAGAGGACTGAGGCGGGCGCGCGTGGGAGGGCGTCCCAAGGGGAGGGGTCGGCGGCCAGTGCAGGTCCGGAGGCGGGAGCCACCGGGCAGGGGGCGGGGGTGAGCCCCGACGGCCAGCCCGTCAGCTCTCGCCTCAGACGGGCGGGAGCCACGGCCCCGCTCGCTGCCCATTGTCTGCGCCCCTGACCGGTGCGCCCTGGTGCCACAGTGCGGCCCGGCGGGGCAGCCTCCTATCGTCACTTCAGCCAGCGCCGCAACTATAAGAGGCGGTGCCGCCCGCCGTGGCTGCCTCAGCCCACCAGCTGGGACCGCGAGCCATGCAGCCCGTCGCCCGCCCCCAGGGCTGTTAGAGCCAGACTGCGAACTCTCGCCACTTGCCGCCACCGCCGCGTCCCGTCCCACCGCCGCGGGCAGCAGCCAAAGCCGCCCCAACTGCAGCATAGAGCGGGCAAGGCCGGGCAGGCCATGGGGCACTGGGCGCTGCTGCCTGGCTGGGTTTCTGCTGCGTTGTTGCTGGCGCTGGCCGCTCTGCCTGCAGCCCTGGCCGCCAACAGCAGTGGCCGATGGTGGTAAGTGAGCTGGTGCGGGGTCGCCACTTGTCTCGGGGCACAGAGCCAGGGGCCAGCCCCATCCAGCTCCCACGCTCTGGGATCCGTCCGCAGACAGACTTCCTCCAGCGCTCTGACTTCCCTTTGAGACACCGAGGGGCGCTCTGGAGCGGAACTGGTCCAGAAATTCCAGCTCTGCTGAAGTGGGGTGAATGGTCCGCCCGGCGGCCCACGATACTCCAGGCGGGGAGCCCTCTTCCATCTAGCACTGCCCTCTTCCAAGAACCCCCAAACGAGCTTCACGGTGGTAGTCACACTACAGGGCTTCCCAGCCTCTGGAGAGAAAGGGCAGGCGTGCACTCCGAAAGAAGCCAAGAAGCGGGTGGAACTCCCAAGCATTTCACGCCTTGGGTGGGCATGGACGGCAGGCCAGGATTTGCGAGCCAGACTGTCCAGAAACAGGCTCTGAGAGCCAAGGTGAATATCTAGTCCCTGGGCTCTCCATGACTCCGCTGTCCAGCTCCGGGCGGGCGCAGGGCCCCCTAGCAGCCCTGATTACTGGGAACACAAAAGTCTGAAAGCCAAGTCCTTTCAAACTAGTGAGTGCCGAAGCGCGGAATCGTTACCTTGTTATTGATCTCTCCCCGCTCTAGTGGGCAAATAGCTCCAGGAAGAGGACAGGGCGAGCATAACCTTTCTGGGTAGGGTCAGGGTGCAGGTCCCCTTCCAGAGCTTGAACTCCTCTCATGCATCTCACCAGGGGCATCGTGAACGTAGCCTCCTCTACGAACCTGCTGACCGACTCCAAGAGTCTGCAGCTGGTACTCGAGCCCAGTCTGCAGCTGCTGAGCCGCAAACAGCGGCGGCTGATCCGCCAGAACCCGGGGATCCTGCACAGTGTGAGCGGGGGGCTGCAGAGCGCTGTGCGAGAGTGCAAGTGGCAGTTCCGGAACCGCCGCTGGAACTGTCCCACGGCTTCGGGGCCCCACCTCTTCGGCAAGATCGTCAACCGAGGTGGGTACCCCGGAAGGTGACGTTTCCGGGGAGCAGGGGCGCACGGGGTCACTTCAGAGCACGGGCGGGCAAGTGCAGGGAAGATGTCCGGGGCATCTGCAGGGTCACAGAATCAGCCTGCCAAGAGCTTCATGCCAGCACTAGCTCTGGGCCAGACTCGTTACACCAGGAGGTTTCAACCCGTGCGCCTCAGGCAGCTTCCTGCTTAGCTTTTCTGAGCCACTGCCCCAGCGAAAGGGAGTGCTGAGTGGTGGACGCTCGCTGGCCACCGCTTTCCCGCAGTCCCTCTCAAAGAAGCCTGAGAAGCTGCTCTCTTGCCTCTAGCCCAGCAAGGCTTGCATCGCTGATGTGAGCTGGAGAGTTCTTGGCGGTGCAGAATTCTTCCGCTCCCCTCTATTCTCTTTTTCCTCCGGGGCTGCCCCACTTGCACCGAGAAGTCAAAATGCGCCCGGAGTCTCAGTAAAGCGAGATTACAGGTGTGGACGAGGTAGCGTGCCCAGACACGTGCTTTCGCGGGGAGACCAACTTCCCAACACAGCCGGTCGCCGGGCTTCCAGGACTCTAAGGGCGTGGGACTCAAAGGTCCCAAGGCCTCCCCTGAAGGTGCAGGCTGCACCCCGCGTGCCCCCTCGCTGATCCCCTCTCCCATCCCCAATAGGCTGTCGGGAAACAGCATTTATCTTCGCCATCACCTCGGCCGGGGTCACCCACTCGGTGGCGCGCTCCTGCTCAGAGGGCTCCATCGAATCCTGCACGTGCGACTATCGGCGGCGCGGTCCTGGGGGCCCCGATTGGCACTGGGGGGGCTGCAGCGACAACATCGACTTCGGCCGTCTCTTCGGCCGGGAGTTTGTGGACTCCGGAGAGAAGGGGCGGGACCTTCGCTTCCTCATGAACCTTCACAACAATGAGGCGGGGCGCACGGTAAGCCTGCTTGAGGGTGTCCGCACCCGAAACGGAATGGCAGGGATCTCGGAGTCCCTGCCTTAGGCTAAGCTCGAACTTGGGAAGTAACGGTCGGTGTTAAGGCCAGAGGTTAGGGTAAGGAACCAGGCGAGGGCGTCCGGAGGGCGCGGGGGCTTGGAGGGATTCACAGAATGGAATGGATAGTCTGACAACAGAGAGGTTAGAAGTCATGTAACCCATGGACTGTGTTGCCTACGCCCGCCACTGTTCAGGTTCAAAAAATAAGGCTGAGAGGCAAAGACAGATTCTCCGGGTGGAGCAGAGATGGGTTTGGCGTCCAAATCTCTGCGTGACATTTCGTGGCTCCCTTCCTCTGGGCTCGGCTAGGCCTGGGCCTTTGCTGAGATCCCGGCGGCGACCAGGAGGGGGCGGTATCCGGGAAGGTGGCTCTGGCTCTGACGGCGTCCCGGGCCGTCCTTTCTTCTCCTTCCCCCCACCCCCGCCCCCCTAGACCGTGTTCTCCGAGATGCGCCAGGAGTGCAAGTGCCACGGGATGTCGGGCTCATGCACGGTGCGCACGTGCTGGATGCGGCTGCCCACGCTGCGCGCAGTGGGCGACGTGCTGCGGGACCGCTTCGACGGCGCCTCGCGCGTCCTCTACGGCAACCGCGGCAACAACCGTGCATCGCGGGCGGAACTGCTGCGCCTGGAGCCGGAGGACCCGGCTCACAAGCCTCCCTCGCCCCACGACCTCGTCTACTTCGAGAAATCGCCCAACTTCTGCACGTACAGCGGACGCCTGGGTACCGCGGGCACGGCGGGGCGCGCCTGCAATAGCTCGTCGCCCGCGCTGGATGGCTGCGAGCTGCTCTGCTGTGGCCGGGGCCACCGCACGCGCACGCAGCGCGTCACCGAGCGCTGCAATTGCACCTTCCACTGGTGCTGCCACGTCAGCTGCCGCAACTGCACGCACACGCGCGTACTGCACGAGTGCCTGTGAGGCGCTGCGCGGACTCGGCCCCTGGGAGCACGCTCCTCAAGCCCACCCCCAAACAGATTCGCTGGCACCTCAGACCCGGATCTGCGACCACCCCGTCCCCCCAGCCACACTCCGGGATTCCTACCTACCTATCCCATCGTTTCTCCCACCTCCTCAAACCTGGGGACTCCTGAAACCACTTGCCTGGGGCGGCCTGAACCCTCTTGCCATCCTGATTGACCCGCCCCCGGACCTACCTCCCTCCCTCTCCGCGGGAGACCCCCTTATTGCACTGCCCCCAGCTTGGCCGGGAGGTGAGAGGAGGATTGGTCCCCTCCCCCATCAGGTGCAGCGAAGCTCTGCCTCCTCCACCGCGCGCAGCGACCTGCCTGCCTTTCCTCCTTCTCCTTTCACCTCCGATTTCTCCAGGTCCCCACATGCCCTTCCCCTTCTCCTGTCAAGGGTGCACACCCTGAACACACACCTGGGCATCAGGGCCTTTCTCCTCCCCACCTACAGCTGAAGTGGGAGGTTCCGGGGTGAGAGGGCAGCTGTGGTGATGTGGAAAATGAGGCTGGGGGACCCGGGAGAAATATCTCCATTCTCCCAGCCTGTCATGGAGCCATTGAACAGCTGCGAACCATGCCTCCCTCAGCCACCTCCTACCCCCTTCCTGTCCTGCCTCCTCATCAGTGTGTAAATAATTTGCACTGAAACGTGGGTACAAAGCCACGAGTTTGGTTGTTGTAAATAAAAACTATTTATTGTGCTGGGTTCCAGCCTGGTTTGCAGAGACCACTTCCCACCCCAACCTAATCCTTCTCCATTCTTCTCTCCTTTTGCTCTCCAGCCTTTTCTGACCCCTCTTTCCCTCTCCCTAGTTTCTCCAAGATGCCTTTGCATTCCGGAATCAGTATTTCCTTCCACTGTAGCTATTAGTGGCTCCTCGCCCCCACCAATGTAGTATCTTCCTCTGCAGAATAAAATCTCTATTTTTATCAATGACTTGGTGGCTTTTCCTTGAATCCAGAACACACTATTGCTTACCTCCTTTAAACAAATAGGATACATTGTTGAGGGACTGGTTTCCTGACCCTGGAAGAGGACTCTGACATTCTGTCCCTTGGATGACCCTGATGAGGCCACTGGGGATCCAGGTCTCCAGATGAACCCAGTCAGGAGCCAAAAGACGCTACAGGGTCCTTCTTCCTATTTGAACACCAACTGGCTGTATGATACTACGAAAATCCATAACTTCCTCAGTTTCTTGCCTTGCTGAGTGGGGATTAAAAAACAAACTTGGAGAACTGCCTTTCCTATGTAGAAGAGCTGTTGTGAAAATCGCTACAATTGAGTGATAGCTATGATGTTGTTCTGAAAAGAAACCAAAGAAGAAAGAGAAACCCAAACAGAAAGGGTGCTGTGGCTCATGGGTGTAGAGGTTTTGGTCCCCAAAGCCTCTCTGGGCCAGCTGTGGTCAGGGTGTTGGGCAACGGGGAAGCCACTCTCCTTCCCAGGACAGGGAAATGCCATATTAGGACATCCAACTTCCAAACTGTGGGCTACAAAGAACAGGTGAAAAGCTAAGAGAGGATAATGGGGGAGAAGAAAGGAACAGCAGGGTTAGAATCCAAATAGAGGCTAGACTTTAACCACTGTAACTGAAAGGAAACTCAACTGTGGTCCATAACCAAACCATGAGGTTAGCCATTCCCACAGAAAGCCCAAATGAGGATTCTGTTACTAACAACACCAACATGATACCTCTGTGTGCATTTCACCAGATCAGAGGGGAGAACTAGTTTCTCCTACAGCCCGAAAACCTATCTCTAACTCTAATCCACTCCCTCTCCCTAGGATTAGGTCTAACCTTAGCCTTAACCTAACTTCAGGCAAACCCTAACTGCTTGCTAAGCTCTAATGCCAGTCTCTAATCCTAACACTTCCCCCCACCCCAGGGGAGGGCTTGAAGGACAGGGGAGCTATGAAGCAGCACCCCACCCCCTAAGGGCAACGACTGATCCCAGCCTACTGGAGAATTTCCCCCTCTCCCCAGGACTCTTTTGCTGTTGTTGCTGCCTCCCACCTCTCCCTGGATGTATGAACTCTGACCCATGTTGGCCTTTGGGATATGTGTGGGGGTAGGGAAGTGGAGCCAGGAGCTGCTCAATCTTGCAGTGATACATCCCTTTTCCTTTCTCTTCATCCACCAAGCTAGCACCAGTTCAGCTTTGATGGGCAGTTGAGGAGGAGGAATAGAAATCTTACTGATCCTGGGTAGAAGGTACCTGATGGGGCTGGGTGTCCAGTAAAGAACCCCTGGCAAGAATGTCCAGTCTATAATCCACAGAACTATTAGATCCCCCCAGAGGCAGGAAAGGAGGTATGGGCCCCTGCCAGACAATACCCAAATTCGGGGAGAAGCCGACACATAAGAGCTGGAAGAAGGGCAGGGAAGAAGTGAATCCTGTTCTGGTCCTAACTAGACTTTCAAAAACTCCGTAGCTTTCTCAGCTTCAGTTGCTTTGTCTATTCAACAGGGATGATTACTGGTGCTTAGTTTTCTTCAGGAAGGTGATGAGGTTCAGACAAGATCATGTACATGGACGTGAAACACAGGGTCATTTGAACACTTGCTGACACCACTTCTGTGCCAGGCATATGCCAAATGCTGGGGATACGGTGATGTATGAGCCATAGAGCCTGGTAGGAGAAGTTTACAGTCTGGCCAGGGAATCAGGCACATCAAGATATTGTCAGGATAATGGGAGCAGTGCTGTGAAGGCTCAATGAAGTGTAAAGCCCTCTGCACAAGTGTGAAGTTTAAAGACAGACTCCCATACTTATGTCCTCAGCATGGAAGTCCTTTACTTCCAGCCACAGGGACTTCAAGGCGGGTGGGTAGGGAAGTACAGAATGGGGCTGGGTCCTCAAAGGGACATGCGATAATAAAACAAAAAAAGCAAGCAAAAGAAAAAAATTTTTTTAAAAAGCAAAAGGGCTAGATCTGCAAAGCACTACCTAGGAGCTAATTATTTATTAGGATCACATGTGCCATCCTCACACGGAGCAGGTAAATCCTGGAAAGGAAAGCAGCAATGCCCAGAGCAGGCCCAGGAGGGGGGGTCACCATAGGCTAGTGCTATCAGGAACGGTCCCCAGCTCAGCCCTCTGCACCTAGGCTATCCACCCGCCCACCTCTGATCTTCAGGTGGGATCTGAGACTGGCAGGGACCCCAGACACAGGGTTGGCTCAGTGAGTGAGGGAGGCACTGGTCCTGAAATATCCTGGGGGGAGCGGAAAAGCTGAGAAGACTGAGGCTGCACAGTCCCCAGGGGGTCAGCAAGCCAGCACCACACACACCCTGCCACACGCACCCTGGAAAAACCCTGTCAGTGGGGCTGCAAATACCCCAGGGTCTAGCACCCCCCGCCCCCCACCTCAGGCTGGCTCAGTCCTCCTCTCCAGGCCAGAGGGAGAAAAATAACAAAATGAGGAGAAAATAAGCTGTTTGGCTGTGGTGTGAGCAGGAATATCCATGCAGAGCTGCCCACCACTCACCCTTACTCACTCTTTCCACACCCAGCCAGGGCGCCCAGCATGAGACAGACCACCCCCCTGCCCCCTCCCCCGTCTGGGCTAAAAGCAGACGCTGGTGAGCGAGCAGCAGGTTATAAATATGCCCGGGGAACTGCCGCCAACTCGCTCCCTTGTCATCCCCTGGGAGGGTATAGGGTGGGGTGGCTCCTAGGGAGGAGCCAGGGCTGCCCTGTTCCCTGGGGCCCAGGAGGAAGTGGGGCTTCCAAGAGGCTACTGCATTTTTCCTCCCTTTTCAAAGGGAAAGAGCCACTGCCACTTCATTTTTCCTGGACGTTTGCACATCTGCTCAAGAGGTGGGGCCCTCATCCTCCCTGGGCTGTAACTGGGAGCTCAGAATGAAAGGGCCCGAGTCCATTCACTCCGTGTCACGGTGGAGCCCAGGGCCGCTTCTCCTCACACCCAACACCAAAGTTCACTCATTCACTCAACAGATACTAACAGAGGGCCTGCTGAATGCCAGGCTCGGTGCGCAAGTGTGTCTGCAGAAATAAGCGTGTGCATGCGTGTGTGCAGGCACACAGCAGCCTCTAAGCCCATGCACGCACACCAGCTCCAGCCCCTCCTCGGACTTGGTTTTACCAGCCTCATCAGGAAGGGTAAAGCTTCAGGCTCCCGGTTCCACCTCAGAGTAGGTTTGGGGAGGCGGGGGGTTGAGAGCAGGGCCCCCAAACATTCCTGCTTTTACTACCTCCCTGATAAACGAGAGGGTCCCTTCTCTCCTCCCTGCCCAACCATCCTACCAATGGAGGTACCACCCAAGGAAGAAAGAGCCACTCTGTGGGACGCTAGGGGGGGTACCTGCCCCGGCTGCCAGGGCCCCCTGCCTCACAACCATTTGCCAAGTAAGTACCAAGCCAGGCAAGAGGGGGCAGTGCCACCCTGGGAAGCTCCAGCTCTCCTCCCCCAGAGCCGAACCCCTCCCTTCTCTCTCCTCCCTATTAATCCTCGGAAGTGAAGGGGCCGTCCCTGGCGGCCCCTCAGCCCTATTGTGGCCCCTCGCCCTCCTCGGCTGGCGTCTAATTAACTCCTCCTGCCCCCGGTTTTATGTGCCCCCCTTACCCCACCTTGTCGGCCCCGCCCCTCCGCTCGGCCCGCTCCCCGCCACGGACATTCCAGCCCGGCCGGGCTGGTGTGCCAGGGCAACCAGGGCCGGACCGAGGCCTAATCCCCCCGCCGCCTGGCCCGACTGGGAGAGCCCCGCTCACCTCCCCGCTCTCTGGGGGCTGCCCGGCTCTGCGGTGGCGGAGACACACAATCGGGACAAAGGCGCAGCCCCCAGGGGGCTAACTCAGCCTTCACGCCCAGGTTGTGCGGCATTTGGGGAGTTTAATGAATTGTCCATCACGCCTTTCAGGGCCCGCCCGTCAGCCTGGATTAATCTTCGGAGCCCTGGTGGGGCAGGAGACACTAAGCCTGTATT